GTTGTTTTCATTTGCATCTCTCAAATAATCAGTGATGCTGAACATTTTTTCATGTGTTTATTTGCTATTTCTACTTCTTTGTCTGAGAAATGTCTGTTCATTTCTGATGCCCATTTTTGGATTGGGTCTTTAAATTTGAGAGGTCTGATTTTTTTAAGTTCTTTATAGATTCTAGATAGTAGACCTTTGTCTGAGGAACAGCAGGTGAAAACTTTCCCACAGTGTGGGATAGTGTAGCATTTTAAATGCTTGTTATTATTTTTTTTTTTTTTTTACCATACACGTTTTTATTTATTTCCTTAGTGGGTACCCTGGGGTTTACAGACATAATACGAAAGTACCAATTAAATCAATAATTCAATGCTTTTAACAGCTATGGGAAGGTAAGGAGGTATCATCAAAATTAACAGAAGTTAAATTGTCTCAGGTCACAAAGATAGTTATTTTGAACCAAGGGCTCCCTAACTCAAAATCCTATGTTCCCTCAACATATAAACCACCAATGGATTTTGTGCCTGTGACATCCAACACCAAACCCTAATTTTTAGTCTATTTTAAGAAGACTTAGGAACTGAAAAAGGGAAAATGCCTGGGGAAACCTTGACTCTCTGGTCTGTGTCTAAGAGTAATTTGTCAAAGAAATACTTGAGCCCTAGGCTTCACTATTTTTCACATTGATAAGACCCTAACTCAGAAGACACCAAGTTATATGCAACATTTACTACCACAGAGGTCAACAAACCTTTCATTTTTCAAGAATAAACATGTGGCCTAAATGCTTGCCTGTCTTAAAATGCTTCTACAACAGGTTCAGTTGCTCCTCCCACTCATAAAGTAAACCACCCAAGCAAGTTAGTAGTCTGGGCCAGTCTACTTGCCATATTTTGTGGGGCTGAAGCTGAGGCTACACAAGCCCATTTTTCCTCAGCCCGTTAGTCTCTGCCAAGAGGGATGGTGAAGGAAGTCAGAAAGAGATAAGGAGACATGAAGGGACTTCTTTTTTCCTGTGAGCTTGCTCTCCTGGCAGTGTTGTCCCAGCAACGGTCACCAGCAGCAGCAACAGGTGCCAGTTTCCACCCTCATTCCACATGCCCAGCACATGTCCCAGCTCCCTGGGGGTCCTCTGTGTTTCTGTGGCAGTTAAGGGAACAACTCTCCAGAGATCTGAGCATCACTGCATGGAGCCCACTCCTCTCATCTGGATTTTCATAATCCCAACCTCCTTCCTTGAGCCCCTAGCCTCAGGCATGGAGTTGCTTCCTATAGTTATCATCCATGTTGCCTCAGTATTCCCTTTTGGCTTTTCTAGCCCTCTAAAACCTATTTCCTACAATGAATTTTCTGTTGAAATAATTAAGTATGGTTTCTGTGTATCTGACAGTACCCTAATATTCTACCCAATCTAACTCCAGTTGGAGAGCCAAACTATAACAAAGGTATCTGATGTCAGGGGCCGGGGATTTAGCTCAGTGGCACCACGCCTGCCTAGAAAGTGCAAGGTTCTGAGTTCAATCCCAGGTGGGGGGGGGAGAGACAACAACAAATACAGTCCACCTTGTCTAAGAGTTACAACCCAGGTGATGAGACTCTGTAGAGACAGTCTACAGAACACTTACAAGACCCTATGGACTGTCACATTGCAGAGTTTGATAGGCACAATAGCTCATTTCCTAACTAAAGACAGACACTGCCCACCTATCCCACCCCCCTGATAACCCATTTGCAAATGATTTAGCAATACAGACCCCAAGGCCTACACTGCACTGGCAATGGAGCACAGCCCATGAAAGAATGCTGCCAGGGAAAATTACTAATAGAATTGGCAACATCTGTGGGAAAACCACCCCACAGAGTTGAAATCATACGTCAGCACCCTTCACAGAAAGCTAAGATCAAACACTTAGGCCTGGAGCTTGTATTTGCCATTTGCTCATAACATAAATTCCTGAAGTCACAGAAGTCTCATACTATAAATTAACCAAAGCATTCTCACAGAAAGAAAATCTACATCAGACTAGAGGGTGGACCAAAGAACAGATAAATTCTGTGATCTGTAAACTGCCTTACTGAACTATGAAGGAATTTAGAGACTTTGTATGTAAAGATGACCCTAACTTTGAACTAAAATCCTGTCAGTTGGGAAGTCTAGCTGCAGAAAAACAGTATCACTTAAAAAAATTAAAACTCAGTGAGGAACCATGCTAAAAGCACACAGATAATTGCACTTGCAAAGTGGGGCAGGTCAGAGGTACACGGAGAAAGCAGAGACTGCAGCTGCCTTACTCATACCCATTCTCCCTTTCCTCCTTAGTAAAAGAACACTGGGCACGGAGGCCATTTCCCAGCCTCCCTTGCAGAGAGCGATGGCCCAGAAAATACTAAAAGAAGTCATGAGGTGGGGCTTCTAGGAAAACTTGTTTTGCTCAACTTCTCCACTGCTTATTCCAGCTACCTGTAGGGTCTCTGTTCATCCATCTTTTATTACAAGGTGACTGGAGATGGAAGCCATGCCTTATGCCTACAGCCAGTAGGAACAAAACAAAACAAAACAAAACAGGTAAAAGGATCCAAAAAATTATCAAGCAAATATTGAGGATTCTTAAGGGAAAGATAACCAACAGATGGCAACTTCAAGATGACACAGATGTTAGAATTAGCCATTACTATAAGACACTATTACAACATCAATGAGGTTCTGTAGAAGAAAAGAATTGGGAAATGAACTGTATCCCTCCTCACCCCAATTTATTATGTTGAAGAACTATTCCTCAATGTATCTCTACTTAGAGGCAGGTCCTACAGAGAGGTAATAATGGTCAAATGAGGTGTTAAGTGTAGGATCTTCATCCCCTGGGAGTGGTGTCCTTACAAGAGGAAGAGATGTGAGATAGCTCTTCTTCTGCGTGCACACGCGAAGAAATGCTATGTGAGCAGGCAGCAAGAAGGCAGCCATCTGCAAACCACTAAAAGAGCGCTCAGCACGAGTGAAGCTGCTGGCACCTTTATCTGGGACTTCTAGCACCAGAACTGCGAAAATACAGTACAAAATTCTGTTGTTTAAACCACACAGCTGGGTGCGAGAAAGCAGGCTGGTGGACGAGCAGTGGCTACCTAACTGCCCCTAACATGGCAGGCAGGCCCGCATGAGACATGTGGTGCCCCACAACCCAAAGGCACGACCATCAACCAACTCCAAGCTGCCTATACACTGGGGTTCCCCTGGCACAAGCCAGCAGAGGGGTAGACTAATGACCTGATTAGACAAGGAATATGCCTAGGGCCAGGCATGGTGGTGCACACCTGTAATCCCAGCACTGAGAAGGCTGAGATAGGAGGATCGATCTAAATTTTAGGCCAGCCTGGGCTCCATAGTGAATTCAAGGCCAGCATGAGCTACACAGTGAGACCCTGTCTCAAAAACAAAATGAACAAACAAAGCATATGCCTAGGGAGAGAAGA